CCCCAAAACCCCAAAACCCCAAAACCCCAAAACCCCAGCAATTAGGAATTTATGGATTAAGGTAGATTATATTCAAAAATATATAAACAAATTTAAATTTAAATGATTGGTAACGATAGAACTAAATCAACTTTACTCGGAGGTGCATCTGCTACTAATGCTACACTATGGCAGCATCCTTATGTCGATGTATTCAAGCATTTCAAGATCTAACCAACAAGCGATTGGAAAGCTAACAAAAAGCAGGGGGATGTAGCTGAAATCTTTGTAAGGTTTTATTTAATTTCAAACATTTTCATTATAGGCGAAAGAAATTGGAAGAAAAGCATTGAACATTCAAGGTAGCATCTCTGCAAATAACTTTGTACAAATTCCACATCCAAGCAGCTTAATAAAGTCAATAAACCTCACAGGGAGATATATTTACTTAGAGGTCAAGACTACAAACTAAGGCTCTCCATTCACCTTCCATTTTGACTTTGGAATCGCAGATAGAGCTCATAATGTTAGAATCTCAATCAGCAACCTCTTCAAAACTTTCAACACATCAAACGGATTTGTAGTCTAAGTACCACTTGAATTGAGAACTGAGAGATGGACAGTTGTTCAAGTTGATTTCCTAGATATTTTGTAAAGATCTCAACTATTCCCACAAACATACTCATGTGAAGGTGCTCATAGTTTGAAATCAATGCTCTTGTGCGCCAATATTCAAGTAAGAGGAGTATATACTTCTGACAATGCATACGATTACATTACTCTACCTTCTGATATGAGATTCAAATTCTCTTTTGACCTCAATAAATGGGAAGAGCATTTTGACTTTACTGAAGTACCGGCGAACCTAGACAATAAAACAGGCAAAAGCTAGCATTAAAAGTCTACTCTCCATCAAACAAGCAGAGCAGTAAAGGGTGAACTCGAGACTGATTAGTAAAAGAGAGAGAGAGAAGAGGAAAGAAAGAGAATGTCAAAAGAGATAGATAACCTTCTGAATAGACAAAGGATTCCTGTAACTGAACAGACAGATGAAGATGAGTTTGGATCAGGAAGGAAACGCCAATCAAAAGTCGGGAAACTACCAGATATTAATCCAGATCTATTCATGGAAGAACAGAGAAATGATCCTTAAGTCCATGGGTATATTATAGACTCCTAGAAGAGAGAGTAAAGAAAGCAGATCATGAATCTAGCGGGACTTCAAAGCAACAAAACTGATTATGTTAGTGGCCAGTATATCGGAGTTGACCTCAAAAGATCTCCTAAGCTAAACTAAGATCCTATTCTTGAGTTAAGACATATTATTGGTTACTCTTCTGATAAATGCCTAAACTTGAAATGGTCAAGGTTCTAAAATGAAAATGTGGTAATCTTTACTTCAGGCGGAACTCTTATTGCAATGGATGTTGATAGCAATAATCAAAAGAGATTCTTCTTCGGTCATAGTGCTCCTATCTGTTGCTTCGATATCAATGCTAATGGTGCATTATTAGCTAGCGCACAAGAAGGTAAAAATTCAATCATCAGAATTTGGGAATATCAAACTGGAAGATGCATAAGTATGGTAACTATGCCTGTAATTAATCTTAAATGCTTGGCATTCTCTTATGATGGAAAGTATCTGGCTAGTGTAGGTAAAGATTCACATAACAAAGAGATGATTATTGTTTGGGATATCACAAGAATTTCTTAGGGCCAAAAACCAGAAATCGTTGCAAAATAGACATCTGATTTCAATATTCTTCAGCTTAAATTCAGTCCAATAGATTCCTCAAGAATGGCCTCTTGCGGAAAAGAAAACATTAGATTCTGGAGAATTAAAGACAATGGAAGCATTAGAGGATCAGCAATCGTTTTGAATCATCATGCAAGGAATACAATATTCACTTGCTTGGACTATGAGTATGGATTTAGAAGTGTAGATCCAAAGGAAAATGAGTCACTAAAAAGAGTTTTTGTAGGATCAAAGCATGGCATGGTATTCTAAATCAACTATCACACTGAAAGTTTAGATGCTACCTATTAAACTAACGATTCAGCGATTTTTTCAATTGCAGTGAATGAAGCTTTCTGCGTCACAGGTAGTGAAGATACTTACCTAAGAGTTTGGCCTCTTGATTTTTCAGAGTTCTTTATGGAAGCTAAACATGAAGGCACAGTATGCTCAGTGGATATTTCAACTGATGGCCTGAAAGTTGTTTGTGGAACTCTTTATGGAAGTTTAGGTATCCTTGATAAATCGAACCAGAAATATAGAACATTACTAAGATCACACACTTAATAGATTTTGAATATGGACTTCCACCATGGAAAGAGATGCGTAATTACAGTAAGCAGTGATAAAACCATAAGACTGTGGGATATTGAGACTTACGATTAAGTTTATGAGTTTTCATCTCCTATTGATCAAGCTTTAACAGTGGCAGCTCATCCATATCTACCTCTATTTTCATGCGGATTTGAATCAGGAGTAATGAGAGTATTTGATATTGAAAGAACTTGTGTAGCTGATGAATTTAGTCAATTCAACAATCACCTTCAAAAGCTAGCTTATTCTCCAAGTGGAGATTTACTTGTCACATGCTGTGTTGATGGTGGAGTAGCTATTCACAATCCCAAAAGATAGCACATGCCAATTAAGATGATGCATTTAGAGTTTCCACCTTAATTTGTTCATGTAGCTTTCAGCACTTAGGCTTAAAATCAGAGATAAGATTTCCATGATGAGAACTAAGATCCAAATAACTATTAAGATGGATAAAATGAATGCAAATTTGCAGTAATGGGTGAATATGGAAATAATGTCAACATTTATGACGCAAACTCTTTCTTTGTAAAGCATCAAATTTAAGCTGGTAGTCTTCTAAGATAGTTTGCTTTTGCTAATAACAATAGAGACATTGTACTTGTCACAACAGATTGCAAGATTAAAACATTTAGTCTTGCCAAATATGAAGGCATTTTCTTGAGAGAAATTGGTACTGTACACAGAGGCAACATAATGTCAATGAATATTTCAAGTAATAGTGGCTACCTTATAACTGGAGGAGAAGATTGCATGGTTAAGGTCTGGGACTACGAAGCATCTAAGACAGTTCCATTCTTCTTCTAATCATTCATTGGTCATACTTACCCAGTTAAGAGCTTAATGTTCTGTCCTCTTGACAATGGATTGGTTGTAAGTGCTGGTGAGAGAGACGGAATTTACTTATGGAGTTTTTATGGAGACATTAAGACTTAATTCGCTCACTAAAGTATTGAAGACAAAATCCAAATTCAAAAATCAGGAACAACTTTGAGTGATTTACAGAACCCTTTATTCAGAGGCTAGTCTGTTCTTGAGAGACTTAGAACTACCAGAAAGGAGACTAAAATCTCTAAGGGAGAACAACTCTAAGATGATTGCTTCATTCTTCCTAGTTTCAAATAAGCTGTGCCGGTTGACCTCCAGTAATAAGATCTCGAACAAACATAAGAGACATCATAGCTTTACATAAAAACAAGGAAAGAAAGAAATCTTACATACAATCACTATGCAAACTGTACAAACTAATACGATATAGATCTACAACCCCATCTGTTGCTAGATGAAGAAGACAAAAAAGAAAAGTTAGTCGAGCCAACAATTTTAAATGGCTACGATGGATTTGGTGGTGTTCATGATAATTTAGTTTGGGATTCCAGTGCTGGATGGATGGCTTATACCCTTCATAACAAGGTGATCTTTGAGAACACTAAAAGTAGAGAATAGACAGTAATTACTGACAGTACTACTTAACTTTCGACTCTTGTATTATCAAATGATAGAAAACTTTTGGCAGTCTCAGAGGGAAGACCAAATAAGTCAGGAAACTCCTTTATATTTGTCTACGATACTCACGAAAGAAGATAGGTTTAGAAGCTGACATTCCACTAGAGAGGAGTATAAACAATGGCATTTTCAAATGACTCTAAGTATCTTATTTCGATTGGAGTATAAGGTGAAAATACTCTAGCTATTTGGGATCTATCGCAAGGACTTGTCATCAAAAGTTCTTTGATCAGACACTATGCTATAAACTGCGTAAAAGTTGACCCCTACATTGATGATGGGCATCTTCAGTTTATTACAGTTGGAAACCAAGGAGTATTTTCATTCTGGAGACTTGATTTAGGTAGCTCACAGCTTTAAACTTACGATGTTGAAGATGTCCCATTAGAATTCCAATAGACTTACTTTACTGCAGCTTGTTACACTTAATTCCTAGGACCACCATTTAATACTTATGTAATAATGCTCTCAGCAAATGACGGCTCGATGACTGCTTATGACTAAAAGATCAATCAATTTGTTGACTATGGAATAAAGAAATGGTGTATCAGTGGAGAAATTGGACATATTAGAAGCAATAATAACAGTATAGTTATTGCAAGCTCAACTGGCACAATAGCCAGATATGGAACTCATAATGGTTAAGTCTTCCCTTAAGATAGCAAATAAGTACAGGTTCTTAAAGCTGATTCATCAGTAATATCACTTGCAATGGATGATCTTAATAATGAAGGAGTAGCTGGTACCTCTAATGGATCACTCTATTACTTGAACTTTAATGAAAAGCTTTTGATAAGAATTGTTTCCAAAGCTTATCACCTTTAAAAAGAAGTTTCAATTTTAAGAGTCTGTGAGAAAAACCCTAATCTTGTTTTGAGTAACTGTTCTGAAACTGGAAGTACTGTGAAACTGTGGACTACCACAACCATAGATCAAGTAATGAAGTTTAATTCACCAACTTAAAGCCCAGTAGCATTCATTCTACCTAGCGTAAACACTGCTAAGTTTACATTAATTGGACATTAATCTGGACTTTTGAGACTAATTGATTTAGAAACCTTGAAAGTTGAGAGCACATTCTAACTAAAGATAGATACAGCACAGTCGGAGGTTCTTACTGCTGCAGTTTTCAATCCAAATGGAGTTAATTTCGCAATCGGTACTACACTTGGAGCAATATTCTTTGGTTCGCTTAAAGCTGATGGACAGGGTAAACCGAAGCTTGTCCTTGGGAAGGCAGAAAACTTCCTTAAGACATAGAACTCAATAACATCTTTACAATTCTCAGTATTTGATCCAATTGGATCATTCTTAGTTGCCTTCGATAATGGCTCAATCAAGACTTGGCAGAGCTCAATTAAAAATGAACAATTCATGAAGCTAATGGAAATTCAGCAACAATCGAATGGCTAATTAGCAACAAGCGGGTTGGTACCTGAATTTGATATGAGTGATTGCGGGTATTAGCAATTTGATTTGATTGATTCTTTTGATATGTTTGAAAATCCCCATGGTCTTGATGAACTAGGAGAAGAAGACAAAGCATAACTCAAGCTTTTGTATACAGTAAGTTTTGATTAGTTTTAATATGGGTAATAGAATAAGAAATATAAGGAATGTGAGGCTAGATTTGCCCCAGGAAAATCATCTGTTGATATTTACTATGCTTTTGTTTCTTCATTGCAATATATCTATGTGAGAAACTACGCTCAAAACACTATTGTCAAGAGAGTCTCACTATTACACTTCCCAACAAGCTTTGCTCTTGTCGATTACAATTCCCTTTTGATTTCTGAAGATGAGATTAATAACCCAAGACTAGGAGGGGAATAAGCCCTTGCTTGTGTTGGTACCAAAGAAGGTAAAATACTGATAATCAAGATCGCTTCTACCGGCTACACAAAATTGGCAGAAACTAAGGGAGGATTGAGCTTAGGAGCAATAACAGCAGTTGATGTGTCACTTCACAGTGATAAAATCCTAGCTGCAACTCAGAGTGGAGAGATATTTACTGTTGATATCTTGACTAATGTCCAGTGAGAAAAATGATTTGATGACAATTGAAAGAGGTAAAACTCTAATAATTTCTATAATTGATTACTAATTTTGATTTCATAATTACTTAAATTCACCAATCTAGGCTCAATGGGGTTTTGGGGTTTTGGGGTTTTGGGG